CCGCCCCAACGCCGGCCTAGATGGCGCTGACGCCGCCCATCAGGTGAACGGACCGGCCCTTGTACTTGTCGCTAATGGACTCTTCGATCTGTGGAGGCAAAAAACCTCACGTCAGGGGCCGGTGATTATAAGCGCGGCGACTCATCCGTCGGGAGCAGTCTCCGGTATCAGGGGAGTGTCACGGCTGAGGCTGGTGATTATTACCACGGTGAGTCATGAGTCAACAGGGGGGGGGGGGGAGGGGGCTCCGCCGTCAGGGAACAGGCTCACACGCTCACCGTGTCCGGGCGGGACAGCAGTGAGTCAGGAACGCTTGCAGCGTCAAGAAACGTACAATGGTCCGAGCAGGCTATCGACGGCTGTCGCGCTCGAACAGACGCTACACAGCACTGACGAATGATACGCCGATGCATTATTGTTCTATTCAACGTAAAATGCTCCCCTATACTAAACTTTCACATCTAGAGTGCGCAGCGTCCGAATAGTTCAAAACTACCACCTCCTAGCGCTTGGTGAGCCCGTCGGCTGGCGCCGCCTCAGAACATCACCTGGCTCTGCAGCTGGCGGGTCTTCTCAATGATCAGCTTCAGCTTGGGCTGCAGAGCCGCCGCCTCCTCGGCCGCCGCCTTCTTCCGCTGCTTGACGGCCTCCACCGAGGCGGTCATCTTGTCGGCGATGTCCAGCTTCTGCCGCAGCGAGCCTACCAGCCTGTCCACGTACCTGCGGGCACCGACAGGCCACGATACAGGACACGCCGCGCTCCCGTGCGGGGCCGCTGCCGCTGTCCACCCCTGGAGGATGGCCGCGGAAAACGAGCGGTGAGCCGTGCCGTCGCAGTGCTAGAAAGACCCGGATAAACCACCAAGCGAACGGGTCGTCAAAGATGTCACTGCCCTCTGCGCAGGGGATCCTCGGACTGCACTGTTCTCCCCGGTATCCTCTGTGTGTGACAAGAGCGTTCCCATCTGTAGCGCTGTAGCCAGCACAAAGCTAAAACAGCTCTACGGATCCGAGGAAACGCGTGATCTTGATCTGTAAGAGCTGGACCGGTACGATACGGGAGCAGCGGACCTCGTGGCTCCACGCGACGAGGCGAGTCTGACCGGCGGATCGTCCGACAGCGCACCCAAGCGTCCCGCGAGCCAGTCCGACATCGGCAGCCGTCAGCGAGTCTGACCGGCGGGTGGTCCGACAGCGCACCCAAGCGTCCCGCCAGCCAGTCTGACGCC